CTGAGCAGTCCTGCCAGAAGACCCGAACGTTCTTGTTCAAGGCCCGACACTCGAGTTCCCTACGATCTGGCCGAAGGACCCGACTCGCTGAGGTCTGTGGTCTCAAACATTCAGTCCCTACGTCCTGTCGAAACTCGACGTCTTATTATAGTAATTGATTGTAATTTGAATCACCCCTCTGGAGGTGATTCAGTCCTTTGAACAAACCTCGAAAGTCTAGTGTAATCATTTTCATACCTGGGCTATCGCCTGTGGTTTTTCCCTTTTTAGGGTTTCCACCGTTAAAAAATCTGTGTTCTCCTGTGCTGTGTGCTAGTTATTACGTTACAACGCTAAAGACGTAGGAATCAAGTCTCTATCGCCGTTGTTAATTTCCTAGCCCGCAGCAATTTAAAAAGGGAAAATATAAGATAAAAAAAATTATTATAATGTCTACTCTTTATATTAGGAAAGTTAAGTATTACTTCCTTAATCAAATATATTTATACTAAAATATCTTTCATATTCAATTCTTGTCAACTTATCGGCAAATTTTCGGTGCTGATGTGCTACAATGCAAATGATCAGTACTTTAACTATAAGAAATAATCAAAAATGAAAGAGAAAATAAATAAATATATATATATTAAATATCATATAGTTGACTTCTCATACATAGCTTTTAAGCATTTGGATTAAATACAGGTTAACGTTGGCCTTTGATTATTTGGCCTAAGTTTGACCTTCCATTAATTTCCACTCTCTATAAATAACCATCAAAACTGATAGTACATTTATGAACTAGCTATTCATATACTTTATATTTTAATAAGCGGTCCTCTCATCCCTCTACAAAATTAAATGAGCTCTTGTTCCATGCGACATAATTATGTTGACAAAATTTCAATTAAAAGAGTGTCCGATGTTAAGAACTTTGATGTGATGTAAAGATTTTTAGGACACATATGACTTTTCATCTAATTCTTAAATCATATAAATGATTAACGCATTAACTATTCAAAATTAGATTGATGTATTAAATGGAGCAAAAACTTGGGCTCAATATTCAAAAGATTGAACGGCTGAATATTGCGGTTCCTTTTTAGCTCGATTTCAACTGTAGATCAAAATGAGATTTTAATCTCAATGAAGATTCATATAGATGACCTCACATAATGGGATAACAGCTTGATTAGAGCTATCAAAGGAGTCTTGTTGGGTTTGGGTCGAATTCGAACTGTTGTATTTTGTTTGGTCTGACCCGAACCCGACCTGTTTATGCAAACGGGTCAGATATTTCAACCCGGACTGACCCCGTGGGTTATCGGTTTGCCCGATCGCTGACGACAGGCACAGCTCTGCAACCCGCCATGGGCAAGATAGTCGCTGGCAGTGGCGGTAGCGGCTGCAGACACGTGCGGGAGATGAGATTGACGACGTGATCGGTGGCTCACACAAAAAGATGCAACTCGACTAGGGGGCACTCGACGCTGGCAGACGGCAGGCTGCACGGGCACTCGATGCAGGCAGCAAAGGCGGGCATACACCTCAAGCGGGTTAGCTAATCATTCCACGGTCATCCCGGGTCATTTTTGAGTTTCCGTGTCAACCTGAACCAACCTGATTTTTGAAACAGGTCGATTTGTTGAACCTGAAACCCGACTCATTCCACAAACGGGTAGACCCAATAAGACAGTCACACAACTAAAAAATCAAAATGAGCTGTGTCATCAAATATTGATGAAGATTCAAATAAAACTAAAAAGTATGCATATTCACAAGAGAGGCATTCGAGGATCATAGAGACATTCGTGAGTCACTGCTTGGGAGACCAGGCAGAGAGAAGCTAAATGCAGAGAGAAAGAACACCCACTTATATATGTGACGATGGAGGCGGTTTAGCGGGATGCACAGGAATTAAAGACATTGCGCCGCGGAGCTACGACCTGATGTAAGGGTACGATCAAATTCAAGATTGCGTCATTTACTTATTTATTATATTTTCTTGCACTTTTGCGTAAGCTGCACTTTGAATGTAAAAGATTTTTCAAAGTTCTGCAAAATTAAATGAGATATCGAATCGAAAGTACAGAAATTCAAAGTTCAACTCTAATGATTTAATAAATATTAAAATTGTTTAAATGAAAATCTAAATTTTTAAAAACAATATAAAATATATAAAAAATAAAGAGAATTAATTTATAAAAAATAAAATTTATATATAATCTAATTCTTTCTTTTGTTCTTGGCACAAATAATTTTAGCACTAAATTGAATCGATCAATCAGGTAATCGGTTCACTGTTGAATCAGTCAGATCGTTCCTACACAATCTAATTTTCTAACCTTTGAGGTGTTCTCTTTCAACTTTATAAATTGATAAATCATCTAGCACATTGTGTTGACGCAAGCATTTAAAAATTTGAAGAATTCTTGACCTTCTTATATATTTTTTCTTAAGTGAAAAATTTAGAAAAGGGAAAAAATTATAAGGCCTGACACAATTAGAATGTTTCTATCAATATTTATATTTGATTATAAGTCATTCCTTCGAGAAAGGCATTATACATTGTGAAGAACACTTGTTGGTTGAAGTAGTAGAGTCATTTTGTAGGAATCCAACATAAATCTAAGTGCTGAAGTTGGGATCATAGTTGGTATCGACAGTGTGCATCGATCTTACAAGTGAATGTGTGTTGGCATTATTAATGATAGTAGGCGATGAAGTCAGTATGCATTGGAGTAGCCATATGATAATGATCAAAAGATTATAGGTCGCAGCCAATAGTCAAGTGATAATGTTCAGAGGATCGTAGTCAAATGATGGTGATTATATGATCGTAATTAGGCAATAGAGATAGAGGACCGTAGTTATGGATGGAGGTCAAAGGATAGTATTCAGACAACGGAGGTCAAAGGACTATAATATTAGATGGGGGATGGAGATCGGATGGCTGTAGTTAACAAACAATAGAGGTCATATGAGCCGCATTCCTAAAGTTTTCAATTACACTTATGGTCCTTACTTTGAACTCATTTAGGCTCAAATTGAACCGTTTTTTAATGTGTTGAATTTGTCTCATGAAATTTTTAATTTGACTATAAGTTTATTGAAATTAGAGTTCAAGTAATTCTGAATTTAAGTTTAAAAATTTCCGATATGACCCGAGATTCATGCCCGATCATTATATATATAAAAATTAATTGGTACTTAAAAAATCTTAAAAGTGTCTTTGAATATTAAATAGATTGGTAATCAAACAAATAAAGACGGCCCATCCAATTGAATAATCGGCTACCCATTAAATGTTGGAAGTAACTTTCATCGGAGTAATCAACCAAATAAGGGGCTTTCGCTTTCAGCCACCAAACCATAAGTTGGCTAAATATTTATCAAATAATAATAATAATAATAATAATAGTTGGGATGGGATTATTTTCTTTATTTATTTTTTACTGACAAGCATCCACGGTGTTAATATAAGCAGTTAGTGAGCTTAAAAGTGCTCGAGAATAGAAAAAGAAAACTCTTAATCACTCGGCTTTGTTTGAATACTCAAATAATTGAGACGATGTTGATCTTAATGGAGAATAAATCTATGATAATTAAATTAAATTAATGAAGAAACGCATTGGAGACATCTAGCTGAGTGGCTCGCCAATTGCGTTGAAGGGCTATGATGAGTAGAATGCGAATTGTTGGGATCTTTGCAACCAGACTAAAAGTCCCCTGATAATCAACTCCTTGTTCTTGAGTGAAGCACTGAGTTACCAGGCGTGCCTTGTAGCGATCGTTCTGACCATTGGGTTGGAGCTTGGTTTTGTATGTCCAGCAGCAGCCAAGCACATGTTATTTGAAGAAGCTGGGACAAGGGACAACATGCCCTGTTTTTGCAAGGCGCGGAACTCAGAGGACATGGTTGAACGCCAATGTGGAGGTTTGGCATCCTCGATGTAACTGGTGGGAGTAGGGCAGGTTGAGAAGTGGCCAGGAGATTGTAGATGCGTTTGGGTTTGAGATTACCTGTTTTGAAATGAGTTTCTGAGACAGGTAGTGAGGATGGAGGATGAGCAGGGACTTAGCTGATTCAATAGGGGAGTATGATGATACAAAGAGGGGGTTTGAATGCTTGATGAGAGTTGATTGTGGGAAGGATATGGTGGAAGTTGGAATGAGCAGCAGGGGAGAAAGGGACTCCGATATGAGTGTGTGTAAATTTAATGCATTATTCCTTAATGAAAAAAATATATTCCTTCTATAGAAAGAGCTCTACGATTTCAATGAATAAGAAAAATATTTTAATTGTGAAAGTTTAGAATAGGTAATTTTGATATAAGTGATATTAACCATTATCATTCATGATAATAAATAATAATCATCACATAATGTTCAGAACAAAAAAAAAACAAGAAATCAAGATTTATATGGTTTGTTAATTAATCCCTTATTGTCCTCAATATTGCTAGATGCTAGATGCTACAATTATAAGAGATCACACCACCAACAACAACAACATCAAGTCTTTATCCCACTATATAGGGTTGGCTACATAAATCATTTTTCTCCCTTGAATTCCATTAATAATTATATTCTCATTTAAATCTAATAAAAAATATCATTTCTAATATTTTCTAGCCAAGTATTTTTAGATCTACATCTACTTTTCTTAACATAAGTCAAATCTAATACATCTACTTTGCTAACCAGGTCACTTGAAGGCAGCCGTTTTATGTGACCAAAACATTTAATACGACTCTCTAATCTTATATTCCACTAAAGCTCCTCCAACCTTTTCATGACAATCAGCGTTAGGATAAGACTTCACAAACCTTCAACAAAGAATTCAGGTCTTTGAGTTGCAATACTTAGCAGCTCATGACTTCATATCATTTGAACAAATTAAACAATGCTTACGCTAATCTTCCATGGTAATTCTATTGGAATTTAGGGTGTCCACAGTTCAGTAAATTGGAGAAGATAGAGAACAAATAGCTCATGGAACTAGCAGAACACATTCCAGATGTGCTCAAATATCCTTTCTTCACGCTTCATTTTAAACATGAAAAAGGAGACCACAATGATAAATAAATGAACCATGAACCAGTTTTTCGGTGTTAAAAATTCATAAACAAGTAACTTATCTCTTAGTCATTGATCTAAGAGAGAATCAACACCCCAATTCATCCCATCACATCATAATCAGAGAAATAACCTTGCTGTGGTATATATACAAAATGAAGATGAAAGAAATTTACAAAAAAAAAAATATATATCAGAATGAAGCATACCATGAAGTCTTCAGGGATTCCTTAAAGTCTACAACATCCATTTGAAATGGCTTGGCACTGAGGACATTGCTTGGGTAATGAATTCCTGAATATAAACTCCTTTCTCAAAAATACTCTCTGTTGCAATATTAGGCTTCACCGGACAAGGGTGGCCAATCCACTGAAAACCATTACCATTGTTTGCAGATTTCTTCTTAAGAACCTTGGTTTTGTTTGTGTCACCAGAAAAACTGTCATTACCAGGGATTTGATATGAGAAGTTTCTTCCCAAATGAAAGGACTTCATTTGTTTATCAGCTGCTGACTCTTGCAATGTGCTAAGAATTGAAGAACTTGCAATCACATTTTGCTCTTTTGACTCTTTGAAGTCTGAAGACTCTTGCTCTGTCTGACACTTTTCAAGACCTAATGCTTTTTCATTTATTTTCTCAAGGTCCTCAAGCATTTCAAGTGGGCAATTGTCAGATTTCAGCCTCCCATTATCTAAATTACTTGAATAGGGAGCATCTGGCTGGCTAGAGAAGAGAGATGGAGGTTCCACTTCATCACACTTGGATTCACTGACATGATATGTTATCTCTTCAAATCGCCCATGAATAGCACAGTCAAGGTGGGAGCAGGAAGTTGCATTAAGATTTCCACAACTTCTATTGTTCATCAAAAGGTAGTTTAAAATAGAAAAATCTAATGAAGTATCTGCCTCATGATTACCAGAAATGGATGAAACTACATTCCCTGGTACTTCTGCTATACCAACACCAGTCTTCCACTTTGGCACCAAGGAAGAAACTTCACCATCTATCATCTCTGCAATTTCTGTAACGTCATGATCAGTTATGCTCAGCTCTGCAACCATCTCAGCTGCAACACCTAATGCAGTATCATTTTCGATATCAAACGGGAAGTAGATATTCCGGACGTGCCCTGCACAGTATATTAGGGGTGTCAACAAAACAAATAGCACAGAAGCGAAAGAAATAAAATCATTCATCATAGTTTTGGAGCAAATTCCAATTGTTTGGATCCTCATCCTATAAAATAAATGAATTGCACAGTAATGTACCTTCTTTATCACAGATTCTAAGCCTTAGAAAGATGCTTCCATCATCTCTCATTTTCCCCTTGATCATGATTTCCGAATTAGTATGAGGTTCTTTTCCTGGACTGAAAAGATTGAGCCTGTGTGTTTCAAATTCTACAGCATCCCAATCCCAGCCATTCTCTTCCATTATGTCATAGTGCAAATCATCGGATGAAAAACTACTAGTTATCAAGGAGTAGTCTCTGTTAAGAGGACTATAATAAGGTTGCTTAAGAATCTGACCCATCACAGTGATGTCTCCTTCCCTAGATGTCAAGCCACGCTCATCGATTTGGAGAAAAGGATCATTCAGAAGCTCTCTTGCAGAGAGTCTCTTTGACACCTTTGCCAGGCATTTCTCGACGAATTGTCTCACTTCAGGATCTTTTACTTTACGTAATGCTTTCGGCTTTTTACCCTATGGAAGAAAAGCCATCATCATCAGATAGAAGGATAACTTAAAGATCAAAATTAACACAGAAGAGTTATAGGATTTTGGCTCTTACAGAGATAACCTTTTTGTAGATTTGTGCAGGGTGAGTACATTCACTATAAGGGTATTCAAAGGTGACCATCTCCAAAACACACATTCCAAAAGAGTAAATGTCAACCAATTCATTGTATGCCTCTTCATAAACCTCTGGGGCCATGAATTCTGGTGTTCCTGTAGTAGATTAGAACAGAACCACTTATATCTACAAGCTGATCCAAGTTCTTTCTTTGGGAAGGAAACCATTATCATCAAAAAGAAAAATATATATATAGTTTTTTTACTCAATGTAACAAGGTGATTTAGAAGATTACCAACACAATGATCAGCATGTGGTTTCCGAAGGATCGCTGCAAGACCTAGATCACCAATCTTGACCTCTCCTTGGTTTCCATTAATAAAAATATTGTCACACTTGAGGTCTCTATGAATGATGGGAGGGTCATGGCTGTGGAGGTAGAGCAGGCCACTTAAGATTTGCCTGCACCAATGCTTCACTGCCCTGATGTTAACCCTCCTATGTTTTTGTCGATACCTAAATTTGGAAAGGATTACACCATGAAAAAAGGGAAATAGAATCCCACCCAAGCAAAAACAAGACATCTATGCTAAATATAGATCAACTTACTGTCTCAGAGTACCAGAAGTAAACATCTCAGTGACAAAATTGATCTTCCTCTTGGAGATATCGACCCATGAAGAACAAAATTTCATTATGTTCTTGTGCTTTAGGGTTTTGAGTAGATGGATCTCACAATACAGCCTCTCCAAATCCTCAGGACTTTGAAGAAAGTCATTTAACTTCACCTGGTTCCAAGCGACCTCAATCCCCTCATACTCATCAAAAGCCCTATATCTGCCATCAAATTGCAGCAAAACAAAACAAAAAAAAAGGAACTCTTCCCATTTCAGAAACCCACGAGCTTGAGAGAAAAAATTGCCCATGCTAATAAATTAGGTAACTTTATTCTAGGTTTCAAAAGTGGAAAAGCTATAAAAGAGGGGTTTGATTCATACACTGTTTTTGATGAACCCTTGCCTAAGATCTCATTATACTGCACAGGGATCAGAAACAATCGAGTTAGCGCAACTTGGCAAACCATGTAATACAAATATCTAAACTAGAAAAAAAAACAATAAATCAAACCAGTCAACGAGCAAGAAAGAGATGAATGAGATTTACCCTTCCATATCTGCCAGTTGGATCCACTTCCACAAACTCTTGGTATTCTGAGTCCATTCTCCAAAGCTGTATCTAATGCATCTTACTTAATGATAACAAAGATTCATTTTTTATGCAGATTTCATGGAAGAGAACTCAAAAAAGAGCTAGAAGAAGGAGATAGAGATCGAAAACCGAATCCGAAAGAAGAAGAAGAGAGGAACTAGAATTGATGGGGAACAAAAACTCCACCGCACATCTTAGCCTCCTATATCAGTTCTGAGCGCAGGCGATAAGGACAAGAGAAGGACAAAAGGTACTCATTTGGACCCCTTCCGCTTTCCTAACTTGCCTTTCCTCCTCCACCTTCGCAAATAGACTAAGAATCCTTTCTCTTCCACTTAATTATCTATATAACGCGTTCTTTTGCTAATTACCCAACTAAGAAGCTCCGCAAGGTATTATTTTATTTATTATTTTGTGCACTTAGAACTGCAAACGAATCGAGCCGAGTCGAGTATGTGAACGTTCATATTTGTGTTCATTTAATATCAGCTTGTTCAAATTTGGCTATTTGTTTGAGCTTTATTATTTGTGTTCATGTTTGGTTCATTTAAATTAATGAGTGTTCATGTTCGGTTCATGTTCAGTTCATGTTCGTTCGTTTAGTGCTTATTGAGCTTGTTCGCAAACATAATTAACGAATTTTTTTAACTATCAAATAAACACGTTCATCAACATATCTATGAACGAACACATTTATAATAAAAGCAATTGTCTATTTATTAATTATATAGTCAAATATTAATTATTTTTATCGAGCTTATTCACGAGTTCAAAATCGAACACGAATTGAGCTTTTATCGAGCTTAATGTCGAGCTTGTTCACGAACTTCAAATGATGTTGTTCGCGAACATAAATGAGCCGAATGCATTAGTGTTCAAGTTTGTTTATTTAAGAATCGAGTATTTAAAATATTGTTCAAGTTTGTTTGTTTAGTTAATTAAATGATCACAAACGAGCTTTAATCAAACCGAACAACGAGTAGCTCGTCGAATATTTGGTTCGCTTGCAGCCCTAACTAAGAATGAAAAGCTTTCTCTTGGGGAAATTATTTACAAGGTTAAAATTTAGCAGAATAGTTGAAACAGCATAAAATTTTAATTTATTTATCAATTTTTATATTATACTTCATTTAAAATAAATTTAAAATTATAAAAACTCATTTTAATTAAAAATTAATAATTTATTTTTTATTTTAAGGAATCAAATTGAAAAGATTAAAAAAACTATTTTGGAGATTTTTTTTTTCCTGAAGTAATACTATCTTAAGAGAATTTTAATTTCACCTGCATAATTACTCCTCCAAGAAAAATACCCTAAAAAAGACATGAGCACCGTTCAATAAAAATATATGTCAAAATTAATAATATTTCATCGAATGAACACTTGCTGGATGGGCTAAGCATTTCTACTAACTATTAATTAAGCATTATATTTTTGGCATATATTTAAGCTTCATTAATCCCGCTAAAATATCACAAATGAGTTGAATTCAACTTTATTATTCTCTCTCTTCAATATGTGGTGGAAACAAATTTGTTGCGTGCCGGTAGAGAGATATATGATTTATCATTCTAGTTTTGTAGGAAGATTCAATATATATATATATATAGAGTGAGAGAGAGAGAAGGGAGCAAGAGTCATAAGTGACGTCAAGATTTTTACGTGGAGAATCTTGAAAAGGAGAAAAATCATGAGATATAATCAAATTAAAATGATTATACTAGTGTTTGTAGTCAATTACAAATGATGCAAGGTCTAAGGAATCATAGTTGGAGGACAACAGAGATCAGATTGACCCTAATAGATGGGTGACGAAGACTGGAGGGACCATAGGAGGCAATGGAGGTCATAGGGACCATAGTCAGCGGGCGACGATGGCTAGAGTGATTGAAGTCGGTGGGCAACGGTGATTGCAAGGATCTTAATAGGTGGGCAACAGTGGCCCCATGGATCATAGTTGGCGAGCGATGGTGGTCGAAAGGACCATAGAGGTGGGTGACGGTGGTCCCATGGACTATAATCATCAGACAAGGGAGGTTAGAGGTGTTAGCATACAAGACTAAGTCAACAGAGGAAACAAAATATTTATCTATACCATAGGTTTAGAGTTATCTGAGCCGTTCGTGTATCCCTATAGTGTATATATAGCCACTTGTATCGTCTGTTTAAGTATTGAAAATTCTATTCGAGTTTGTTCCCAGGTTTCTCTATTCCTCCACCTCTCCGGTATTGCGTGGCTATCAACATTTTATCATAGCACAGATAGATTTTCTTTTCCTCTTTTCCTTTCTCTCCAGATTCGTCATGGATGAATCCTCAACCTCCCCTCCAACCCCAGATTATCTACTGCCTTTTAATTCTATAACCATTCCTCCTCAACTTAAGCTCTTTATGAATAACATCAAGACCCTTGTCTCCAATCCTTTGACATCTGACAACTATCCCATATGGCAGTCCCAAAATCGAAAAAATATTCACATCAAATAGTTTCAAAGGATTTCTCTATAGCTCGACCAAGTGTCTGATACAGAACCTAACGACCGACAACTCCAATATCGTTCTTGGGTCGCACCCTGAAGCTTGGTTGCTTCTTGATCAGAATCTTGCATCAACCTTATTGTCCATCATTTCGACATCTATTCTACCTTGCGTTCTTTCTCTCACACATTGTGTGGACATTTGGGCTACCCTAGCTCACTGTCTTCAGGCATCTATACGGTCACGCATCATTTAGTTAAAGAATGAGCTCCATCACCTTTCCAAAGGCGAACAATTAATGACGGAGTACTTACTTATGGTTAAATCCAAGCTAGATGCAATTGCCATGGCTGGAAGCTCTATAGATCCGAAAGATGTCATTCTGCTTACATTGAACTGTAAGACTTAATAGAGTTCTCTATTTCTTGCAAGAACTCGCATCATAATTTATGTAAAAGAAATCGAAACAAAAAAAAAACTTGAATCTACATAAGTTTTAAATCGTCAAGATCTTAAAACAAGATGATTTTCACAATCTTTAATCGGAAGAAAAACATACCTTGATTCATTTTGAATTCGTCGAATTTCGAACTACGGTTTCTCTCCCTTCTCTCTTCAGTTTCTTCTATCATGAGTTAGTCCTCTATGGAGCAAGATAACTCCTCCATGTGAGAGAGAGAGAGGACCAATAGTTATTTCCTACGGATTTTTCATAATAACCCCTCATGAGAGTTATTTTACAATAACTCATAAAATAACTCATATAAGTTATTTTATAATAAACGCTCATATGAGTTATTTTACAATAACTCATAGGAGTTATTTTATAATAACTCAAAGGAGTTATTTTATAATAACCGCTCATAGGAGGTATTTGATCAAACGGTCCATAAATGAATGATCAAATTATTTTTTCTTGACCAATAGGATTTAAATATAAATAATTAAATTGCAATAATTCAAATATATGGGCACATAATGGTTTATATAATTAAATATATATTCTTAAATAATTATTGCGATGTCTCGCATAATTAATATATTTAATTATTCTAACATGAACCGACTCCCTGCTATGTACCAACATTTATGGCAGCAATTCGCACAAATTTGCAATCCGTGTAAGCATAGAAGATCGAGTAACAGAGGAAATTAAATATTTATATGTATTGTAGGATTAGAGTTATCTGACCGTTCATGTATCCATGTAGTGTATATATACCAACTTGTATCGTCTGTTTAAGTATTGAAAATTCTATTCGAGTTTTTCCCAGGTTTTTATGTTCCTCTGCCTCTATGGTATCGCATGGCTGTCAACAAGAGGGACCGTAGTTGGCAAGCAACGAAGGTCGAAGGGTCGTAGTCATCGGGCGATGGTGGTCATAGGAACCATAATCGACTAGCGACGAAGCTTGGACAAAATCACAACAATGGCTACTAGATGGAGTTTTGATGGTGATGGTCAGGCAAAGATCCAACAACGCTGGCTTGGTGGCACTGGTTCATCGATGATGGTGTGGAGCTCCGTGTACTTCAAGTTTCAAATCTCTTTTGAGTCTCTAGCTCAGGGTCTAAGCCTCCAAAAGTCTAAGCCCTTCTTTATGTGGGAAGAGGTCGGGGGTCTATTTATTGATTTGAAAGTGGCTTGCTTCATAAATATGGAAAAGATCAAAGGTAAATTCGAAGTGCTACATTGGATGCCCTTGATCATAAAACGTTTGTTCAATATTTAAGTACCTTAATGATGCTAGAATTAATTAAGCAATCTTAGACTCATTATATTTGTCTCGTCGAGCCACGCGCTTTGTCTATAAGCATGTCATATTTGGATATCATTTAGTCATTCAATTAATGATTTGATGCTTTCAAATATGCTTTAAGCCCTTGATTTGAAACCAATCAGATTGGACCGATTTTGTTGTCGTTGGGTTTGTCTCACTAAAACGCTCAATTTTATCATAAGTTTGCTGAAATTGGAGTTCGGATGGTCCGGAATTCAATTTTAGAAGTTAAATTCATATATACTCCGAGATTCATGCTTGATGAAGACGATTTTTGAATATATATCTTCAAAAATGAAACATTCAATAAGAAAAATCATTAACTCTACCGTTAAAAGCATGATGGGTTATAAGACAGTTGGACTGCCTTAAAGAACTAGGATTAGAATTAGCTTATTGTTGACTATCAGATGACTTTATATTATTGAAAAACACAGTATATATATCGTTATTATTTTTAGGCCATTCAAAAATCACACAAAATTTGTATATGAAATATCACCATTGAGAGCAATTGACTTATCCTTTCATCATAGTCATGATGTTCCTCACAAACTTTCATCAATGATTGTGATAATTAGAATATAAGAAAAAAAAACATTATATATATATATAAGGAACGCAGGAAATTTTATCTTGTACACTCGCTTAGGTATTTGTCCAATAATGAAACGGGCATACAATTATTTGGCCTTCACGTGGATTTGTTGTTATAGTCTAGAGTCCAGATAGGGGCAAGCATGTGAATTGCTAATGTCTTTGGATCACATGGAGGCTAATGAAATGTTTATGAAATTTATTTATTATTATTATTGTTGTTGTTATTGCATGCTAAAATATTCATAATAATATAGTGAGAGAATTTATCATTTTAGATTTATCACAACAGGAAAATGTTCGTACACTCGCTTAGGTATTTGTCCAATAATGAAACAGGCATACAATTATTTGGCCTTCACGTGGATTTGTTGTTATAGTCTAGAGTCCAGATAGGGGCAAGCATGTGAATTGCTAATGTCTTTGGATCACATGGAGGCTAAT